TCGAGATAAGTAACTTATTGGTAACTAGCGGCCCGTCCCGACTTCGCACGGGGGGACTTAAGATTTTTTACATAGTTTTACGTTTTATTTATATTTATTCTCAGTTTTTTTTTTATTTAGGAAGTATTTACCTTTTGAAAATATTTTTCGGGACTTCATTTACTTATTTCATTTATTTATGAACAATTCATCTATAGAGCATTTTTGTATAACTTTAACTATATGCTCAGCGCACGCCACGGAAGGCCTCAGAAACGATACTTTTCCCCCGTTTTTAAAACATTTTTGGTTACAGCTCCACAAGTATAGGACCTAGCGTGATATTATATAGCCTATGTTACTTCTGAATAATGCAGCTTTCTAATGGTGAAAAAATTATTGCAATCGGTCCAGTAGTTTTTGAGTTTATTCATTACAAACATACAAAAATACAAAAATACAAATCTTTCCTCTTTATAATATTAGTATAGATATAGATTGTTATTGTGGCGACTCATGGTACATGTCAACGGATGACGTCACAAAAATCCTACATCGCACATGCAAAGTTTACATGCAAATTAACACGGATAGAAAATCCCAACGAACAACTGTTGGGCAAAAAGCCCGCCAGGCACGACCACCTCGCCTGGTCGGAGGATCCTCCTTTTCCGATCTTAAGGAAGTATACTCTCTGTTCTGTAAATTATTTCCCTTCGAAAAAAATAATAGATTTGTTGGAAATTACGAATAGAGAAGATCATAACTGGTAGAAAAGTAATGAATTGCTAATTACAATTATACTGTTTAAAAAAATACTACATTTGAGAGCACAGAAACGGAGCCACTAGCATATTTTTTCTTCATTTTAACGAACTCTAAATAACTTAAAAATTCTTTTTACAACAAGATGCTCTCATTTTAAAGGTAACTAAATTATTTTTCTTACGACATACGTTAACAATTAATAAAATACTTATATCAGAAAATATTAATCAAGAAATGAAAAACAAAAACGCTAGTGGCTTTTTTTTGCTTCAAGTGTATGAAAATAATGAACAAAAGACAAGCCGAATAAGCTCAGACATTCTAAAAACTTAGCCTGAATAACAAAATCATTTAGTCTTTTGAATTTTACTTCAAAAACTGTGAGTGACTATTTTGTATGTCTCCCAGTCCTAAGTTCGACGACCGACAATCGTAAACAATGAATTTCCATAATAAGAAAACTTGCCGACCTAAGAATAGTGAGACCAATTTCAGAGTTACGTAAATTGAGTTGTTTTGTATAAAAAAATGGATAGGACTTAATCGAGTTTGATGAACAGCAATAATTCTAGTGATTGTGAAGAAAAAATCTGTAGCTAGCTACAGTAGAAAAATCACCTAAATTATTGTACTAAAAAATGTAGAATGGAAAATATCAACAGAACGCTCCCGAAACGGTGTCAAAAAAAAGAAATATATTTTTTACAATTTTAATTGTTTTTGCTTTCGTATTATTCATGCAACATCAGCAGAGCAGTTGATTATAACTATATATATATATATAAAAGAAAGTCGTGTTAGTTACACTATTTCTAACTCAAGAACCGCTAAATCGATTTGGTTGAAAATTAGCGTGGAGATAGCTTAGAACCAGGAAACGAACATAGGATACTTTTTATTCAAGGATTTCTTTACTAATTTTTACCGAAAATCACGAACGGGAATAGGAAAAATGGAATTGCGCGTACGAAGTCGCGGACAGAAGCCAGTTATTACATAAAAGAATAATTTATTTCCTTACTTTTCGGAAAATAAACTTTGTTTTTTGTTCATAAAAGTACCGTTACTGTTTACTGTTTACACCTTGTATGAACGCTACTTAGACAAAGTTTATACAGCAGTTCTGATAATACACAGAAGTGATTTTAAGTTCACGAAGAACTTCATACATACTACCTCTATATTTCTGTGCAACAAAATGCACATACATGTCTATGTAAATATGTGTGGAAATAATTGTCTAATTATTTCCACACAAATTTCGTCCAAAACTGCACTGAAAACTTAATAAACTCAGCCTCATTAGCATACAACCTCGCACAAAATACAACCCAAAGTTCTGAACTAAACCAATTGTTCTCAGACAATCGAATAATAAAATAACGAGGATCAAAAAGTATCAATTTGAAATCGAGTCCATATGGAAAGTAGAACAAATATGAAGGATGCAAGTAACAGCAATCGTTGAAGCGAAGAATATGAAATGAAGATGTCGAGAAAATGCTGAATATGTGAACTTTAGTGGCTGCGAATGATATTGAAAGTTTGTCGGGAGTATTAGGTTAGGTTCTCTCTTTATTATTAGGCTAGTCGTCACCCACTTACGATTGTAAATTGGCTATCTAATAAATGTGGAAAAGCCATGCTTCGGCACGAATGGTCCGGCTCGACCGGCAGTGACATCACGTCCTCGCAGAAAACTGACGTGAAACAAAGCTTGCGTTGTGTTTTGTCGTGTGAGTAATGTTATCGGAAGCCCAATTACCCCCTTCTCCAATCTCCCCAATGCCTGAATCCTCAACAATCCTCAAATTCCTAATCCACAAAAGGCCGGCAACACACTTGTAACGCCTCTGGTGTTTTGAGTGTCCATAGGCGACGATTGCTTACGACCATGTGATCGTTTGCTAGTTTACCGGTTTACACCACAAAAAATATGTTTGGAAAAATATAAATGTAACACAAGAATTTAAATACTTCTTTTATGAACTACGATTAAAAAAAACGGCTTCTTTTTTTCGAAGTCGGTTAATTAATATACCCTTCTCGTAACCTTCTCGTAAGTGTAACAAATACTTGTCTGAAACCGAAACAAAATAGGTTTAGCCAATCGCACAAACACACATACATACATACAAATAGGTCAAATTGAGAACCTCTTTTTTGAAGTCAGTTAACAAAGTACCGAAAACATTACTATTGAAGACTACTTACTATACTATTATACTATATATTATATAAATATTATACTATACATACATACATACATAACTTCACGCCTGTCTCCCATGGGGGTAGGCAGAGACTAAGGAGCGCCAATTACTACGATTCTTACATACCTCTTTCGCTTCATTAACAGTCATCAATCTTTTCATGCATGCTCGTCGGTTATAATTATATTATACTATACTATACTATTGAAGAGGCAACCATTAGAACTTCAAGAAAAGAAAATGTATCGTAAGTAAACAGCCTTATAGAGACAACTGAACCGATTTAAACGAACATCGACTAAAGGCTAATATCAAACACGGTGTCGAACAAACTGCTGCAAGTGAAAATGGAACTTTAAGTTTTAGTACGTAAGACAAAGTTTTAAGCACAGTTTAGCATAAACTTCTTTATGCTCTTTGAATAAAGATTCGATATTGAGATCTAGAAATTGTCTTTGATGTTTGAAAAGTGAGGTATAGAGAATATTTGAATGCATTTAGACAATTTCTATTCAGCGAAGTTACAAAGTAATTCGGCAAGTTAAGTTTTTTTTCTGAACATTGTTTTTTTTTTATTTTTTACATTTATTTCAAACATAGAACTAATTTGAAAGAACTTTATTTCACACGCTAAAAAACAAACGACATGTACAGATGTGTTATTCTATTAGTAGGTACTGATGGATACCTACATGTTTATGTCCCTAGTCTGCCGTGTAATGGACCAGTTCAGCATGTGCAAGACAGGGAAATTATTTAACAACTGCGTTTAAAAAAAACCGACTTCAAAAAATAAAGACAAACGAAAAGTAAAAACTAAAAAGGAAAAAATAACTATTATTGGTCATACTTATAACTTACACACCCACTGATAGGTTAGAAGTCGGTGCCACAAGTTTTGAACAAAATTATTTATTAAATTGTGACCACTAACTACTTTATATTTTGTTATGGGTTTGTGGCACCGACTTCTAATCTATCAGTGGATGTGTATATCCTCCTCCTTTTTTTGAAGTCGGTTAAAAATGTCGAAATAGTTTCCGAATTGGCATAGGTATACCGAATTACTTATTAAAAATACTCGCAGTAAAAATAACAATGAGCAATTGAATTTTTGTAATGACTTTTGTCTATAAAACGGACTTAGGTTTTCACCACATTTATAGAATTTATTCAAGGCCTTACAAACAAAAGTATAGTCTAAGGCAACCAATCATTTGACCGGCAACAGTCGACCCTAAAATCATTTAGGTCCGTCTCTTAGGTTTCATTCAGACTCTCACACACATAAAACAATAATTTCAAATACACTCCCTACAAACATTTTTTTTACTTATGTAGATCACAACTTAGTAACAATGAGAGTACATCCAACCTTACTTAGAGAAGCTTAAGAACACAGACCCTGTGAATCCTATGACAGGATATTCTGATCATGATTTATGTCTGACGGATCTACATATTCGGATTTAGGAAGGCAGGCAAAAATGTATTAGCTTTCAAATTCACATGCCAATAACTCGTCACAGTGATCGACATATGAATAATGTTTCACCCTTAGGAATATCGAATCGCATTTTCGATTATCTTTTCCAAAAAGGATTTGAAACATGATGGATTATAAGTGGGTTTTTATACCAATTGTACACAAAATTCAGGCTGGAAGCAAAACCAACACCCTTTAGTTTTTTGGGATGTTAATTGCGAGTGTAGACTTTGTTAAGAAGCTGCGGTCTGCGATTGCACGCTGCGGTCGAAACGCTCTGTCGTTGTTAATCACTGTAGCTAGGCAAAAATTTAACACAGTTATGGCAGCCATGATTTTTTTAAAGTTGCAATTTCATTTCATTTAGATACAATTTTCAGACACAATAATAATGTTTCTTATAAAATATGGAGACGTAAATCAGTGAGTGATGGATCTTTTGCTATATGTATTTTCTTTCATATAGTTAGTTGAATAGTGCCACTTGATAATAAAACCAAAGTACCAACTAGATCAAAAAGTCCCATCACTAATAAATCGCACTAGAAAAGTACCTTGTAAATAGTGCCGCGAAGAACCATACTAGAGCGCAGATTAGTGTTGCCCTAGTCTTAGTGCAGACGTAACCAGCTCGCAGAGGTTCGCAGATCGCGTAGTATCGCTCAAAGCTGATCGCGAGGATGGTCAGCACTGATGCGTGGGTCACTGTCAGCTCCACGAAGGGTACTGCTAGACCTGGAAAAGAGAATGTTCAGATTAAAAATTATGTGATTGGTATTTTATGACATAGGGGTCATTCACCGAGGGAAGTAAAAACTGTAGTTTTTTCTTAACATGATATAACATCACGCCTTTTATCCCCAAAGGGTAGGCAGAGTTGCACATTACAGCAGTTAATGTCAGTATACTATTCCCACATTTCACTATTTATCAGTCCCATGTAATACGGAGTGAGCCTATTGCCAAATACCAGGACACAATTCCAAACTCCGTGCTATTACTGAGATTTTTTAAAAACCCATTAATACGACCAATAATCCGACCCCGAAATCGAATCCGAGACCCCTGGCCCGCCAGTCGCACTTGCCACCACTCGGGAAACAAGGCAGTCGTTTTTTCTTATTCTATTATAATATCTGATATTTCGTTGCGGGAACCAAGACAGGTATTCATGTCCCTGGGACGCGCCGGACTTCAGTATTCCTGTGTTTTCATGGTTGTATCTACTGTAGGTTCTGGCTTATATGAGGTGCAGGAGTTTTGGGTTTGGAAGACTGTGGCGGGCTTCTCAAAAAAAGTAGGGAGCAATTATGAGCAGGTGGATCTACTTATGATACGATTGACATCGCCCATGGACACCCGAAACACCAAAGTAGTTATCAGTGTGTTACCAGGGGGTCGCATTTGTAACCTCCTTAAAGTTTTCGGGTTTTCTCTAACAAAAAGGCTAGTTTTCCTTAATGTTTAAATGAAACACCATATTTAAATAATTAAATTTTCACTACGAGTACCGAGCTATTCAAAAAATGCATAATTAAATTCCTTTATCGTCGGCACGCTTGTGATGCCTCTGCTGTTACAAATACAACAAGGCTAAAGTGATCACCTACTATAAGCTTTGTTGCTACGTTTAAAAATAAATTATAAATACTTATTTTATAAATTATGTTTAAAAAAGCCGACTTCTAACCTCTTTTTTGAGATCGGTTTATTTTTTTTTTATGGCATAAGCCGGTAAACTAGCAGACGGATCACCTGATGGTAAGCAATCGGCGTCGCCCTTGGACACTTGGAACACCAGAAGCATTACAAATGCGTTACCGGCCTTTTGGGGATTAGGAGTTTGAGGATCGTTGGGGATTCAGGAATTGGGGAGATTGGGGAAGGAGAGGGTAATTGGCCCTCCGGTAACATCACTCACACGACGATACACAACGCAAGCGTTGCTTCACGTCGATTTTCTGTAATATACTAAAACCTTTTCCTAACTGTATCAAACACTGTTCTGAAAACTGCATCAAAATCGATTTACCCAATCGTGGGATTATCGCATATAAATACATACATATATACATGTGTGTTCTTTCTGTTCTTTCCTTACTATTATTTTGATGGATCTCAGTTATCTGAATAAATAAACTTTATTTTATTATATAATTATGTTTGGTCAAAGGTCAAAAGTCCAATGCCACCGTAAAACTACTATCGGTTGCGCTGCAGCGCTTATACATACACATGCACACCATATTTTTACTCGTGTGCGTACGCGGGCGTGTGTTTATGCGTACGCATGCGTTTTTATGCACATTAATATGAAATTACTTATGCATTGCCGTGTGAACATCACTTACGGTGGCAGTGGACTTTTGACCCTTGACTGTACATACAGGTTAAACAAAGAACCTCCTTTTTGTTTTGAAGTCGATTAAATATTAGCTTATTATATTTAGGTACAATAGTAGGTACCTACAATTTGTTAGAAGCACAATTTCTTTTTGTTAATTTTTACCTTGAAATATTGTTTACTTAACTCGGTATTTTAGCCTAGTTAGATATTTATTTTCTTCAATTAGTTACTATTATAACGTTTAAGTGCAAAGCCGTGTTCTTTAAATATTTTTATTGGATAAAATCATACTTGGCTTTCCAGGTTAATAGTGGTCTAAAATATACAGCCGACTTAAAATACAGGTACTCGTATCACAGCTAAACATTATTCTTTTTGGATAAAGAAATGTGAAATCAATTCTGGGAACCGTGTTACCGTCTGTTTATAATTTGAAGTGACCAGCAGATTATCCTACTGCTAGGCTATTTTGTAAGAAGTCAAGTCATTCTCGCACGTCATTGGTTGAGATGATTTTCACAACCAATGACATGGCAGCCCGTGATCGACCTCACCTCGAGAGTTTAAATTGACATTACATAATAGCAGAGTAGCTTTCTCTCTTTGTATATTCGATTTTTAACTTTATTATTACGTGCGTCATGGTCGAAAATCCATTTTATACATATACCTACTAATAGAATAACACATCTGTACATGCGTCACTTGTTTTTTAGCGTGGAATAAAGTATTTTCTTTCTTTCAATAAAAAAATTTAACAGACTGGCTCCTGCTATTGCCTGCACCCACTCCTCCGTGGAATAAGACTATGCTGTCAACTTTTTGTACATACGGCCACACATCAATCTATACAAAACTAGTTTATACTGGTATTGCGTCGCATCATCTTTCCACACATTTAACGTTCAGATTATACTGGTTATGTAAAGCTCGATGTGTAGCCGGGTGTACATTAGGCAAGCTTGAATTCAAGAAATAACTAGCATATCATAGTGCGCATATACCTTTAACGTATTTTTTTTTAAGGGGGGAATATCATCGAATGACTGCTCCCGCCTGGGTGAGGCGGGAGGGAGTGTCAGACTCTTACTGACTAAAAACCACCCCGTCCCTTCTCCTGCACGTCAAGCCGGAGCCCCGGTTATCCGTTAGGTTCTCCGCGACACCTTTCACGTATAGTCGTGGGTGTAACCTTAGCATACTTGAATTCAAAGACATCTCCCCACTTTCTAACTTGGTTAATGAATAGAGATGTGAAATATAATTACGTAAACATAGCATAATTACAAATGCATTAAATAAATAGCTGACTGAGTTGTTGTTGTTGTTTTTTTTTAATCTCAGTATTACCACAGTGTCTGGAATTTTACTCGGTATATGGCAATAGACTCACCCCCTGTACATGGGAATCCTAACATAAATAGTGAAAAGTGGGTGTTACATTGTACAGTGGCATTTAAATGGCGTAATGTGCAGCCTTACCCCTCCTCCCGTCGCGGAGAACCTAACGGGTTACCGGGGCTCCGGCACGACGTGCAGGAGAAGGAACGGGGTGGTTTTTAGTCAGTAAGAGTCTGACACTCCCTCCCGCCTCACCCAGGCAGGAGCAGTAATTCGATGATTTTACCCCCTTAAAAAACCCCTCCTCCTCCTCCCCATCCTCGGAGGGGTAAACCTAGCCCTCCGAGGATTATAATCCTCAATAATAACATCACGGCTATATAAATAATAGGCGTATGTATAATACGCCTATTATTTATAGGCGTGATATTATTATGTTATGTTGTCTATAACTTAAAAAAATATTCCTTATCATTCCTCATTATAAAGGTACCTAACCTTTTATACAACATAAGTTACCAATTCCGTGTATCGTAATAAACCAAGACAAATTCCAGTGGCTCCGCTTCATTCCTCCCAAGTTTAGATGACTCGAAACATAACTAATTGTAAAAATAAGTAGGTATTATATTATATTTCATATATGCGCCTCTTACCATTCAATTAATACAAAACCTAATGAATGATAAAACCTTCACATTTTAGACCAACTCCACCCACTACTGAAAGTCAGGTGGCCTGGGAAATGAAAGATTTGAGTGCACTTTTTAATTTTAAATGAAACTTGTTAGTTGCCGCCCACGTGTGACGTCATAGCGCGAAATGTCACTAACGTCAGTTGGGAAATAGGTTATAATGTCAATTCGGTTGTCATTGGAGATTGTATGTAGGTCTGTGGGATTTTAAAACCTAGATTGGAGAATTTTTAAATAGTTTTGGTCGCAGAAGGTTTTTAGTTTAGTTTAGTTCTTTCGGATTGGCAATGGAAATGTTTTAGTAACATAAAATATAATGTCATACTTAATTGTTATTTTTAACAGATAGGTATAATGACTATTGTGAAACATACTAAATTAACTAAAAAGCGCTGGTTCCTCACGGGTAACTCAGTAAGCTGCGCGACATCGCCGCGACCGCGCACGCTGCTCCTGAGGAAGAGCGCCTCTGTGGCTCGAAAATAGTAGAACTTTTCTCAATATATTCACATGAGTAACCCGCGATTTTTGGTTAAGATAGGTATACTATTTTAGTTTAGGTAAGTGTGGAAGAGCCATGCTTCGGCACGAATGGGCTGGCTCGACCGGAGTGATACCACGGCCTCACAGAAAACCGACGTGAAGCAACGCTTGCGTTGTGTTTCGTCGTGTGAGTTAGGTTACCGGAGGCTCAATTTCCCCTTCCCTTCCCGATTCTCCCCAATTTCTGAATGCCCAACGATCATCAAACTCCTAATCCCTATTAGAAGGCCGGTAACGCACTTGTGACGCCTCTGGTGTTCCAGTTGTCCATTGGCGACGCTGATTGCTTATCATCAGGTGATGCGTCTGCTCGTTTACCGGCTTATTCCATAAAAAAATATATATACATTTTTAGTTTTATTATGAAGTCGATGTCCATATAGACATGACAGACTGTAATATCCAATTATTAAATATAATTTCAGATGCTGCTACTAAAGAAAATGTAATTAACAGAATCCAACATAGCAAAAATACTTCACAAATATGCCAACTAGGGACATAAACACTGAAATAACAATAACTTCAGCGTTCAAAATGAATGTCCACCATCGATATGATAAAGACAACAAATAAATCTTGCAATCGATTCTCGATAAGAATTTCGTGAGCCATAAAATCGAGAAGGCTGTTTTCAGATTGTTAGTATCTGTTTGAAAGAACAATAGGCGGTACTTTTTCAATGTATTGTATTGAATTGAAAACAATGGTATATTCTTTTGTCATGTCATGATATTTTTATTGATAGGGGACTTCTTTGTCGGCGGGCATTAATTGGTTTCTATTTTCGATAGTTCTCAGTATCGTAA